GGTATGATTTTTATGGTTCCCAGCAGCCATCCACACCTAGTAAACTCATTAACAGAGGTAGCTTATTTCATTTTGCTGTATGCAAAATATTTTTTTTGGAGTTTAGCCTAAATCTTTTCTTTACAGGTATGGCCTTATTTAAAAAAAAAACATGGTACGTGACAAGGTTGCTTTAAGCCACATGTCACACAGCAAGAGCCACATTTTCCTGCTGGAAAGTACACTCTCATATTTTATTTCTCATAACATCATTTATAAGATCTCTGCTGCCAATAGCAGAGTCTAAACCAGATACTGCTGTAAAAGTTGGACAACATTACAGCATAATATTCATTAGTCTGAATTTATTAACAGAAAATACATAAATACTTGCATACGCTCCAGATGAAAATGTTGGAATGAGTGAAAAGGTTAAATACCAGACTGCACAATAAGATGTGGTGTAAATATTGAGTGTTTGGATTAATATTAAAATGAATCTTTAGAACAATAAAAAAAAAAATCTCGCTGTCTGTGTCCAGACATTCTAGTCTAAGCAACGTAAAAGAAAAGCTGGCTTGAATGAAAGGTGTTTGTCTACGTCTTCAGCTCAAGTTAAACACGTGGAAAGAAATCCTGTAGTGTTATATGATCATTTTTGACATCTGCTGCACCAGCCATAGCAATTCTTGCCTTGAAGCATACTGTGCAGAGGTGTAGCCAAAAGTCACATAGACCTTCAGCATAATTGAATTTGGGTCATCATTGGAGATAATAAATGTTGTAAACTGTCACCATTTTTTATTTGAGACTAATATCTAATAAGAGTATTAAGCGGTTTTGTTAGCACTGCCATCCTCATAGGCTCAGGAGCCACTGTTCCCTCTGAATTTAATGTATGTCCCAGATACTTTCTGAAGTCATTTCAATAAACAGTGCTGTGTAGTGATTTACAGTTTATCCCAAGGCATTGGTACTTCGTGTTACATATCTGTGTAGCTTTCAAGTTATCTCACTACATAGATACCCAATGGTGAAATAAGAAACCAGGCAGCTCTGGTGAGAAAATGACATAAAAAGATGTAAAGGAATTTTTTCGTTGTAAATAAATGAAAGAGAAGATAGTAACTAGTTTATATATTCTACTTTAAGCAGAAATCCGGGAAATGTTTTTTTCGCATGGGGCTGTACTGGCACTGCACAGGTTAAATGCTCATTTTGTTCTAAGGGTGAGGACACCAAAGATTACTCACCTGACCCGCCATTCCTCCCCACACAAGACTGGCCCTTTTGGCTCCTAAACCCCCCCTGTGGTCCAGTGGTCTTGTAAATGGACTGTTTCTGACATCAGCACGCTCAATGCGTGCTCCGCAGACAGGAACAGTCCACCGCTGGACCGTGGGGGGAGCACAGTTTTTTCGTAGGATTGTGGGTCAGGTGAGCATGAGCTTAGTCCTCACCCCTTGAAAAAACGAGCAGCTGATCCATGCAGTTGGAGTATACCACTACATGGATCTCTTGCATATCCTGCATTCCAGGACACGTGCTCAAAGGAATACCTGACATGAGTTGCAGGGGACCTATTGTCTTAATAATCCTTTTAGGCATATTTAATTTATTTATATATATATATATATATATATGTTCTTTGCTAGCGAGTCCACTTTTATTAAGGAAAACAAAAAAGTTCCATAAAGCATAATCCATGGGGATCTTCACCATTAACACAAAAACATGATATTTCCAGGCTCCTGGCTCACTTTAGTAAAGAAGCAGTTATACAGCCTCCTGGCTCACACATACCATAGTGCTGTTCAGGCCTTCCACTTACACCCTCATCTGTCTCCCACAGACCCATTTCCTTGCCAACACTGTCCACATAGATAGCAGCCCCTTGCTGCTCTGGCCCTCAGACTTGGGTCTTTGTCTTTTCCAGCACATACATGCACCTCTCTGGCTGCTCCCTTCCACACCTGGACTCATCGGGAGGTTGGAGCCCAGAACAATGGCCATGTCACTATTAGTAGCCCAGCACACACCTGACCAGTCAGTGTGCTGGTTGTTCCGAAAACCTAGACCCAGGACTGAAGATTTCATCCCACTTGGTTCTCTAAGAAGTCTCCAGGCTCCAGGTCCCAAAAATGGACTTTCTAAACAATGAGAAAACTGACAGGGAGTTTTCTCCTAATCAAGCAAACCCCGTGGAGCCCCTGAACCTGCCTGGTTGAGAATTCTGAGTTAACATCACCTTGGTGGGACATTGCACTGCCACAACACATACACACTTCAGAGTATGGAACCTGTGCCTCCTGCCACCAGCTGCAGTTGCATCTATAGGCCCTATGTCACTTCAGAAAACTGTAGCAATGTCGTGGCTGGCAGAAGTAATCATTCAGCAGGGAAGGGGACTAGACATCCAGAGATGTCAGATGTGAAGTTTCCGTCATTTCCATTACAGTCACCTTTCACTGAATTTTTTTAAAGATTGTTAATGATTGTATATATTGTAACATGTGTAATCAATATACTTTGAGGGTTTCAGAATATTAAATAATTGTTTTATAAAAGTTAATTTGATTTCTATGAATAAATTTGATTCTATTTGAGCCCACACACATATAAGATTTCTGTTGCGTTAAAAAAAAAAATAACAGATTGTACAATCTCATTGCGTGTCAACATCTTTAGAGTGATTGTTATCCAGACCCATTAAAGGTTAGGTGTTAAAAATGTAAAGGCATGTAAATATTTTTAAAACTACCCCTGCAGGTACTGCTTGGTAATTTGGGTTCTCTGTTTTGCGCCTTGACCCTAAGAATGCTGTCAGGAATGGACTGGCCAGCAATGGTGGGACTCACCTGCCTTTTGATCTGCAGTACCAGGGCTGGCCAGCGGGTGCTCCCAGCAATCAGAGACTCAACCTTTCAGCCAGCTAACACCTGGAACTGATGATACTGGTGTATTTAAGGGATGGCCAGACTTGCAGTGTCCTGCATCCTGTTTCTGTTCCTTTGCTACCCTGTTCTGATCCCTGGCTTGTGACCCTGACCATCCCTCTGCCTGACCCTCTGTACTACGCTGCTTGCTTGCTACCTGCTGAACCTGGCCTGTGACCCTGACCTGAACCTGGCCTCTGCGCTTGCTCCCCCTGTACCTACCTGCCCAATTGATATTGACTCGGCCTGCCTGACGACGCTTGCTTGTATGTACTGTTATCTGTGGGTGGTTGGTTGGGTTTGTTTGCACTGTATTATGTTTAGTATTGCACTGCGTTTATGTTTGTATTGTTAGTGTTAATAAATTACATTGTTAATCACATATCTGAAGTCTGCGTTTCCCTGCTTCAGTCACACACCTCTGGTCATACCTGGGAGCCCTGACATTACACCAAGGCCAATCCTGACCAGAAGTGGCTGCACAGGGAAGCCATCTTGGCTTGTTGATGGGAAGGATGGATCTGGATGAGGTTGCGTATTTATATCTGCTAGTGTTTGATGACAGGGAGTATGCTTATCAAACTCTGAAGGAGTATACCCGGGATGAACTGCTAGAATGTATACGGCTCGCTCATGTTCTAGTAGATCAGGGCACAGAGTTCTCTGAGGTGCAGCCTTTGATTGAGGTTTGTGCAGAGTTGGTTTCATCTGGTACCCCCGAATGCAGGGATGAATTTTTGCCACCATTTAGTGCAGACCAGGTAGAGTCCCTGGTGTGGTTATTAGAGGATGATGTGGGTTACTTTCTGGAGCGTTATTCCACATGTTCACCACAGACACTAAGAGATTGTATAAACGCAGTGCAGTCATTGACCAGACAGGCTTTGTGTAAGCTCAGCTTTGTTCAACCCCTACTGCAGACATGGACAGACTTGTTGCACCCAGCCTCAGTCAGCTTACAAAAACCCAGTCCTGCTTCTAACTCTACTCCTGTATTCCCAACAGCTCCTCCAGTTACAGCCCAGTATACTTGGCTATCTACCGCATGTCAGTACCCTGTTCCCACTCGCTGCACCTATCCTGCCTTTAACCCTGTAAAAAAGCCCTCTGTAGCAACTGCTCCCTCTCCTGTTCCATCCTCCAGTTCTTCTCTGTCTCCAGCTGCTCCATTCGTTTGCAGACCTGCGTTTACTTGCAGTGCTCCAGTAGTTAAAACCAGAAAAAAGCGAAAATTCTTTCCAACCAATACCATCCTGCCAGTATCCAAACCGGTGAGCCTGCCTTCCGTGGTTCAGCCTGAAGCCTCTACTCAGCCTGAAGCCTCTACTCGGCCTGAAGCCTCTACTCAGCCTGAAGCCTCTACTCGGCCTGATGCCTGTACTCGGCCTGATGCCTGTACGCAGCCTGATGCCTCTCTTCAGCCTGATGCCGGTACGCAGCCTGATGCCTCTCTTCAGCCTGATGCCTGTACGCAGCCTGATGCCTCCTCAGCCTGATGCCTCTCGGCCTGATGCCTCTATGCCTGCCTGATGCCTCTCTTCAGCCTGATGCCTCTACTCGGCCTGATGCCTCTACTCGGCCTGATGCCTCTACTCGGCCTGATGCCTCTACTCGGCCTGAGCCTGCCTGCCTACTCTGGCCTGATGCCTGAAGCCTCTACTCGGCCTGAAGCCTCTACTCGGCCTGAAGCCTCTACTCGGCCTGAGCCTCTACTCGGCCTGAAGCCTCTACTCGGCCTGAAGCCTCTACTCGGCCTGAAGCCTCTACTCAGCCGGACGCCGGCATTCAGCCTGATGCCTCTACCCAGCATGATGAACTGATCCAGCCTGACGATCCTATTAGGCCAGTTGACTCGATGCCCGCTGTTGATCCAGATGATCCGGTACCTGATCCGGTGCCCGCTGTCGTGCCAATTGACTCAGAGCCCGCTGTCGTACCTGGTGACTCGGTGCCCACTGCCTTGCCAGATGACGCGGTGCCCGCTGGCGAGCCAAATGACCTGATGCCTGGTGACCCAGTGCCCGCTGTCATACCTGGTGACCCGATGCCCGCTGTCGAGCCAGACGATCCAATGCCTGGTGACTGTCCCCGGTGCCCACTGCCTTGCCAGATGACGCGGTGCCCGCTGGCAAGCCAAATGACCTGATGCCTGGTGACCCAGTGCCCGCTGTCATACCTGGTGACCCGATGCCTGCTGTCGAGCCAGACAATCCGGTACCTGATGACCCGGTGCCCACTGTCCAGCCAGACGATTGCCAATGTCTGCCCCAGTGCCCCCCGCCAGACGTCATGCCAGTTGACTCGGAACCCACTGCCTTGCCAGATGACGCGGTGCTCGCTGTCAAGCCAAATGACTTGATGCCTGGTGACCCGATGCCCGCTGTCCAGTCAGACGATCCAATGTCTGACCCAGTGCCCGCGGTCATACCAGTTGACTCGGAGCCCACTGCCTTGCCAGATGACGCGGTGCCCGCGGTCGAGCCAAATGACCTGATGCCTGGTGACCCGATGCCCGCTGTCCGGTCAGACGATCCAATGTCTGACCCAGTGCCCGCGGTCATACCAGTTGACTCGGAGCCCACTGTCGTGCCTGGTGACCGTGTGCCCGCTGCTCCGCCTGGGGGCCCGAGACCTGTCGCTCCGCCTGGGGGTCCAGCGCCCGCCGCTCCACCTGGGGGTCCGCGCGCCCGCCGCCCCGCCTGGGGGCCCGAGACCCTGTCGCTCCGCCTGAGGGCCCGAGACCTGTCGCACCGCCTGGGGGTCCGCGCGCCCGCCGCTCCGCCTGAGGGCCCGAGACCTGTCGCTCCACCTGGGGGTCCGGCGCCCGCCGCTCCGCCTGAGGGCCCGAGACCTGTCGCTCCACCTGGGGGTCCGGCGCCCGCCGCTCCGCCTGAGGGCCCGAGACCTGTGCTCGCTCCACCTGGGGGTCCGGCGCCCGCCGCTCCGCCTGAGGGCCCGAGACCTGTCGCTCCACCCTGGGGGTCCGGCGCCCGCCCGCTCCGCCTGAGGGCCCGAGGCCTGTAGCTCCGCCTGGGGGGGTCCGGCGCCCGCCGCCCCGCCTGGGGGCCCGGCGCCCGCCGCCCCGCCTGGGGGCCCGATGCCTGGGGCCCGCCCGCCCTGGGGGCCCGATGCCTGTCGCCCCGCCTGGGGGTCCGATGCCTGTCGCTCCACCTGGGGGTCCGGTGCCTGCCGCTCCGCCTGAGGGCCCGAGACCTGTCGCTTGCTCCACCTGGGGGTCCGGCGCCCGCCGCCGCCTGAGGGCACGAGACCTGTCGCTCCACCCGGGGGTCCGGCGCCCGCCCGCTCCGCCTGAGGGCCCGAGGCCTGTAGTTCCGCCTGGGGGTCCCGGCGCCCGCCGCCCCGCCTGGGGGCCCGGCGCCTGCCGCCGCCCCGCCTGGGGGTCCGGCGCCCGCCGCCCCGCCTGGGGGCCCGGCCGCCCGCCGCCCCGCCTGGGGGCCCGATGCCTGTCGCCCCGCCTGGGGGCCCGATGCCTGTCGCCCCGCCTGGGGGCCCGATGCCTGTCGCTCCACCTGGGGGTCCGGTGCCCGCCGCTCCGCCTGGGGGCCCGAGACCTGTCGCTCCGCCTGGGGGCCCGAGACCTGTCGCTCCACCTGGGGGCCCCGCCCGCCCGCCGCCGCGCTCCGCCTGAGGGCCCGAGACCTGTCGCTCCGCCCCGGGGGTCCGGCGCCCGCCGCTCCGTCTGAGGGCCCGAGACCTGTAGTTCCGCCTGGGGGCCCGGCACCCGCCCGCTCCGCCCGGGGGCCCGATGCCTGTCGCCCCGCCCGGGGGCCCGGTGCCTGCCTGCCTCCGCCCGGTGGCCCGCTGCCTGCCGCTTCGCCTGGTAGCCCGATGTGCCTCTGCCCGGGGTCCTGCCCGATGTGCCTCTGCCCGGAGTCCCTGCCCGATGTGCCTCTGCCCGGAGTCCTCTGCCCGATGTGCCCGATGTGCCTCTGCCCGGAGTCCAGCCCGATGTGCCTCTGCCCGGAGTCCAGCCCGATGTGCCTCTGCCCGGAGTCCAGCCCGATGTGCCTCTGCCCGGAGTCCAGCCCGATGTGCCTCTGCCCGGAGTCCAGCCCGATGTGCCTCTGCCCGGTGTGGCTCTGCCCGGTGTGCCTCTGCCCGGAGTCCAGCCCGATGTTGCCTCTGCCCGGTGTACCGCTGCCCGGAGTCCTGCCCGGTGTGCCAGTCTTTGATATCCCGCCAGTTACCAGACCCGGGCGGTGGAACATTTTTCCCAGCTAGGACTGTTTGGAGCGTCCTGAGGCCGCTCCTTGAGGGGGGGGGGTACTGTCAGGAATGGACTGGCCAGCAATGGTGGGACTCACCTGCCTTTTGATCTGCAGTACCAGGGCTGGCCAGCGGGTGCTCCCAGCAATCAGAGACTCAACCTTTCAGCCAGCTAACACCTGGAACTGATGATACTGGTGTATTTAAGGGATGGCCAGACTTGCAGACTCTGCCTTGGTGTTGAGTTTGTCCTGGGCCCTGTATCTGTCCTGCATCCTGTTTCTGTTCCTTTGCTACCTGTTCTGATCCCTGGCTTGTGACCCTGACCATCCCTCTGCCTGACCCTCTGTACTACGCTGCTTGCTACCTGCTGAACCTGGCCTGTGACCCCGACCATTCTCCGCTTGCTCCCCCTGTACCTACCTGCCCAATTGATATTGACTCGACCTGCCTGACGACGCTTGCTTGTATGTACTGTTATCTGTGGGTGGTTGGTTGGGTTTGTTTGCACTGTATTATGTTTAGTATTGCACTGCGTTTATGTTTGTATTGTTAGTGTTAATAAATTACATTGTTAATCACATATCTGAAGTCTGCGTTTCCCTGCTTCAGTCACACATCTCTGGTCATACCTGGGAGCCCTGACAAATGCTCTCAGCCCCTTTGACACATCTGGTTGAATGAAAGTTACTGCAAGCACTTATAAGAACATGAGTATAGATACCTTTAAGTTGGATGTTAATTGGCACCAGGAAATAGACACAAGACCATTTAGTGGTAAATGAACTCAATATACTTGTATGGTGGATTAATTCACAAATCAGCAAAGACAGCAATAAACATTGCATATAAGCATTAACTGCAATGTGAATAATAATACTAGAACTAGTCTAGAGTGCCCTCTAGGAAATATCTAGGATATGGTGCAATGTCCCTTGAGGGGTAACTCTTAGCATAAGCAATAGGTGAAGGTCTCTGAAGCAGCTGTAAAGGGACAGTCTTTATCCCTAAATGTTCAGCTGGCTACTGATGGGGTGCAGTTGTACTATTGGTGCACATGAGAATAGTCCCAATTAAACCTTCAGGCAGCAATAAGGCTACTAGATGGCTGTATGGTCAGTTCCTAGAGGGTTAAATCCCTCTAGCAGCAGATGGTAAATGGTAAATATATACCAGCAGCATTTCACCAATGCTAATGATATTGCAGCTCACCATCCGCTTACACACAGTCTGCACTCTGCTCTGTACCCAGGTGACTCTGGGCTCACCTGGACTCAGGACTCCAGATCCTGCTCAGGCTGCCATAATGCGGTAGTGGTGGTGTACACTGGACAGTGATGTGCACTCTCTGGGCTCTCTCATGACAAGAGGAAGCTGTGTCCTGTATAGCCCAAGAAAATGCAGCTGTTTCTCTCACTCTCCAATCTTAGCCAAGCAGCTGGCTACATATTTATCTTATTATAATCATTTCTGCCAATCCTCACATGGCCACTACAACCCATCCTCAAGGATCGTACAGCCTTCCCTTTTAGTTACTTCACAATAGCAATAAATAGACCAGTCACAAATGCCAAAATACCTACTGCAGATATGATTTTGTTTTATTCTCTTTCAGTTCTCTACTATAAAAATTGCAAACAGAAATGTGTAGAGGGTGGTAAACCATAGTAACCAATTAGATTTCAGTTCATTGAAATTAATTACCTAGTTTTCTAGTTGCTATAACTTACTGGACATTTTACATCATCATTGCTCTGTGCTGTTTTTTGACTTTACTTTTCTTCTCTTTAGCAGGAAGCAGATGTCTGGGAAGGATCATATCATATTGCACCACTCTGAATATACCTGTACATGTTTGTAAGAAAGTCAGTTACTAGAGAACATTACTATTATTATTGCACTGCATACTTTATATGTACTGTAGCACTAGGATTTCCTAATGTACACAGTCTGACTTGTTTCAGAAAAGAGACTGGATTTCAGGAATCGGGTGCATTGAAATAAAACAATCAAATAAATCTGTGTTTGAACAGGCATGACATGTAGAGTAGAATTGGTCTATCTTTGTTCAGGCAACATACACACAGTAGTATTGGTCTAATACAGTAATCCCTGGCAACACTGCATTCATGTGTGTGCATTGGCAGGCTCCATCTC